ATCCCCAAGCAGCAAAACTGACTCTTGCATGCAGGTATTCTTAAACGCTTTCCATGTTTATATTGCAAAATAAAATGGCATCTCCAGGTGTCTGCCTCAGCTCCTTCCTTCTTTCCCTCCCTCCTTCTTTTCTTCCTTCATTTCTTTCCTTCTTTTCATTTCCTTTCTTCTTTTCCTACTTCTTTCCTTCCTTCCTTCTTTCCTCCCTTTTTACCGTCCCTCTCCCAACAACTCTCTTGTTCAGCTGCTGCGGAGAAAGGCCCCACCATACGCCTCCAGCCCGGGAAGCCCTCACACATGCACCCACCCCATTCCAAGCTTGGAGACTTTTATCCACATCTGAGCTTGCAAACTGCCAATCATGCCTGGGCTTGGGGAGAAGGACCTCTCCTTTCTCTGTGGATAAAAGTCCTCAAACTTGGAATGTGGGGTAAGTGTGTGTGTGTGTGTGTGTATGCTTGCATGCGCTTGGCTACCAGCAGTTTGGATAGGTAGGGAACTTGTGGGGCAATGAATTGTCCCCACATTGAGTTAGTTAGCCAATGAGACTTGTTCCATTCCGGAACATTAAGGAAATGTCCTTTAAAAAAATCTGTATTTTAGAATATACTGTACATTCTAAAATGGGTTGGGGGGACGAGCGGTCTGCCACCTTCAAGTGGTGTCCCCTGGATGCGCGAAGCCGTTAAACGCTGACCGTAACTGAGAGCAGACCCTCCGACGACAGGCCCACGCGACAGGCCGGCTGGAGTATTCAAATGCCGCATCAACATGGTGGAAACGTCCACTACAGAACACACGCCCAACATCGATCGCGTCAGGAACGAAGAAGTTCAACGTCGTGCCCATCCCCACGGTCATGAGGCAGTCCCGGCTACGATGGTTCGGCCATGTGAGTCGCGCCAAGGAAGAATCCATCATCAAATCTGAGATGAAGGTGACTGTCGGAGGCGCAAGACCGCGTGGTAGACCTAAGCAACGCTGGATGGACACGATCAAGGCCGACCTAGAGATCGCGAAGGCAGACCCGACATACGTGGCAGACAGAGAGGCGTGGAAGCAATACTCAAGGACGTTAGCGGACCTCGCCAGAGCACGAGACAAACGCTGAAGAAAAAGAAGAAGAAGAAGATTCTAAAATGGGTTGGAATAATATAAATAAATATCCCCAAGTGCTTTCCAAAATCCTTTCATCAAGGCCCCACCTATGATTTTTCAATAAACTAGTTGTTCCTTTGCTCAGAATAACGCTGCTTTTATATTTTAAAAATTAACGTATTGCATGATATTTTCTTCCTTAGTCGTGTAGGAGACTCCCCAATAGTTGGAGCAGGGGCATATGCTGACACTACAGCTGGAGCTGCAGCTGCTACTGGTAATGGAGATATCATGATGCGCTTCTTGCCCAGGTTTTTAAACATTATTAACCTTTGAATGTAGTTTTGAGTATGCTTGAATACTTTGCATTTGCTACCTGTGTAAAAAAAATAAATACAAGTGGAAAGGAATCAAATCACTTTAATTTATAAATTTAGAACATTTTAATTAAGAATTAATAGATTGCTTTTAAAATAGCATTCTTTCTTGATCATGTTTATATCCTGCCACATCTAAATTGACTTTGGGGCATGTTTTAAAGTGAAGTCAACCTAAATCAGTTTGTTATAGTGCTGCCTCTGTGCTGAAGATCTGGTTCACTATTCTACAGTATCTTACTTTGGAAAGAGGCATATTTAATAGCAATAGCATTTAGATTTATATATCGTTTCACAGTGCTTTACAGTTCTCTCTAAGCAATTTACAGAGTTAGCCTATTGCCACCACAATCTGGATCCTCATTTAATATTTGTGATAGTTACAGCACCATTCTTTTTCATATTATATTGAATTATTCCTTCATTTTCAGATAGGAAGTACAGAAACAAACTTAGATCAAATTGTAGCAAAATTGAATTGCTGTCATCATTAAACATCAGTCAATTTAGAAATATTGGGTGCAGTAGTTACTCTTAATGGGGCCCCATTAAAAGAGTTGGTTTAGGGTTTGTGATCCACCTAGAAGGAAACTGCTGAAGCAGATAGAAAGTGAGGCCAAATCTCCCTTGCCCAGCTTTTGCTGGTATGCCAATTATGATCCTACCTGGACTACTAGACTGGCAATAGTATTTAATGCCATGATTGCCAGTCAGCTGCAGTACTGTAAAAGTTGTTCTGTATAAAATTGCCTTTGACTTGGAACAAGCAACTAATAACAAAATGTGGCAATGGACACCAGGTTCTCAGCAAGCAATGAAAAATGAAAATGTATTATAAATACTTCAATAACAAAAACTAGTACAATTGTACTATTCATATCCTTAAATACGATAATGTTCAAACAGTTACACTGAATGGTTAAAAGCAAGGCAGATAATTTAAATACTGTTCACAATAAGATGTTAGTTTATTTAAAAATAGTTTTAACAGATATAACTATTTATTTGATGTCAAAATGGGTGGGTTCCAAAGATAGAATACCCATGCAAATTTAGGTGTAGTTCTGGTTGCTATTGCTTCATTTGTCAGAAGAGGAGAGGATTGGAAGAATAATTTCCTTGTTGTAGGGGGAAATTCTCAATGAAGAAATATTTGAAAACATTCTTTTCTCAGCTAAAATGCACTTATTTGTACACTAAAAGATGTGGATTGTCAGTTCAATTTTCTGTCTTTGTAGTTATCAAGCAGTGGAATATATGCGACTGGGACTAGACCCAATGATGGCATGTCAGAAGGTTATTTCTAGAATCCAGAAATATCACCCCTACTTCTTTGGTGCTGTTATTTGTGCCAACACAAGTGGAAGCTATGGTACTACTTTTAGTTTTTCTTGTATGTTTCTTTTAGCATAGAAAAATTTCTAAGTTCATATAGGTATGGTTGTGTTTACAATATCTATTGGTTATGCTAGCTTTGATATGAATAAGTTTCCTATGAAAATGGCTAAGTGAAATGTTCTTTTTCAGAAAGTAGCATCAGACTGAGGCCCACTTCAAAGCAATCAAAGATCAGTCATGCTGGGTGTCTCATTAATAAACCCTTGGATCACTGAGAAGAGTAATTTTGCTAATCAGTATGGCCTGTTGGGCTAGGTTGCTTAGTGCAGTTCTTTTATCTCTGATTTCCCGCAATTCATATTTGAAAGATTAAATATACAAAGGTTCATTAAATACACCAATATTAAGATGTAAATTGAAATAAAGTTGCAATTATACTTTAAAGAGATATGAAGTCTGTCGAACTGCTTTGAGGCAGATTCCTTTTTAAAAGTGAAAAGATTTATGAGAGAAAATTCAATAATGGTATAACTAAGTCTATAAAGACATCATTACAATAGAAAAGTAGAATCCCTAAATGTTAAAGATACCAGGAGGCAGATTAATGCAATAGCCATTGTTTATTCTCTCAACTTTTTTTTTTCCTGCCACAGGCGCTGCATGCAATAGAGTCCCAGGATTCACACAGTTCCACTTTATGGCTTCTAACCCTATTCTGAAGCAGCCATCTGAGCAAATAGTAGACTGCATTTAACCTTTTTTTCCTCCCTTCTCTTAATGGAAGTCCCTAAACTCAACCCAGTGGAAGAAATGAAGACTCGCAATTTAATCCTAATATACTCTTGGAATTAAACTGCATTCAATAGAAATTATTTCTAAGTTTGTTATACAAATAAATGAATACATTAGGTTCAGTCAAGTTGAACAAAACCATAAAACAACTTTTCTCAATGTCTTTCTGAGCTACTTTTTTGCACTAATATTCATTTTTAAAGATACTTTGCAAAATTAGAAGCTTAATGATTTTCCCTCTAAGTTAACTCTCAGTTCTCTATTTCGCATAACATTCTAATGTAAGAGAAGCTAATCCTCAAATAGACAAAATGTAGCCATTGCTTAAATTGTTTACTATTTTACCCTTAAAATAAATTCTTGATTTTATTTTCAATAAACAAGATTCAATAAATTCCATTTTTCTTTACAATATCGTAGGAAATATTTTTCTTCTATTGAAGTTGGACCATGAACCCCATATCATCCTACCTTATTCCCATGCCTCTCAAATAACTACCAGTGCTTTCTTTAAACATGGTCTTGCCACAATCTATTTAATTACCATAATTTGTGTTGAGTAACCATGAATCAGTAATTATTGCTCAGCCTGATCTACACTGCAGTAATGGGCAAAATCAATGATGTTGGCTTGTGGCTTTCAAAAGAAAAGTATGGCCTGATTGTGGGAAAACCAGAAAATCTGGGAGAAGTCAATTGAGGGATTATATCCTAAGTGGTAAAACTTCTAGAAGATGTCTGGGGAAAAAAACACTCAAAGAGATTCAACCATAATTCCAGGTTGATTAGAAGATGTCTGATCACTGTCATCCAGATGAGAAAGCCAAAGTACTAGCTTTTGTGTCACTCGCTGATTATGAGCTGAACCTGAAGGATCTCCTTTTTTCCAGAGTTTCTACCCATCAAACTAACATGCTGCAGATCCCAACAGCCAAAGAATGTCAGTCTGATGGGGACTAGAAGACTTTTTCTGCAGAGTCCTCTGCTCTATGGAACATCCTCCTTTTGGAGTTTAGAATAGCTCCAACTCTGTTAACTTTTTATAAAGATCTAAAAACCTTGCTCAGCTTCATGCACCAAAGGCTATATTGTTAATGGGCCAGATATTTTGCTCTTTTACACACTTTGAATTAGATCTTTAAATGTTCTCTACTGTTTTTAATGTTTTTTATTGTTGTTGTTTTTTTAAAAAAAATTAGTAATATATGTTTTGAATTGTAAGCTACATAAAGTAATTTACTGAGACAGCTGTAGAAATCAAATAAATAAAAACGCTAGATACACTAGTGGATTTTTGTTTGTTTGTTTGTTTTGCCAATTGGTTGAATTATGAAACACAAAAAATAGAAAAGGACTGCATAAGCATCTTGTAGGATTTTTTTTTTCTCTTCAGCGCCTCAAATTGATCTTTTAAGAGTAGGCCTAACAATATTTCAATAGAAGAAACATTATTCAAAGGTCTTTGGGGACTATCAAAACAGATGCTTAGTAGAAACATACCTGCTAAAACACATTACAAGATTTTGGCCCAGCTATATCAATGGGATAATTATTTTGATTTTTTTTTTAAAGTAGACTCGTGCTTATAAATAATTGTCAAATATTGAATGAGATCGTAAGTTATAAGTAAACTGCATGCTGCTTGTTAGGAATGTAAGTCATCTAACAGTTGGGTTGGAAATATATAAACCAGGATAGACATTTTAATACTGTCTCTTTAAGGGAATGCTAAAATTGTAATTGGGTGTGGTTCCTCAAACGGCCATAAGATGGAGCCAGAAACCTAGTTTCCCAGAGAGTGTTGCCGTTCCTGCATTTCCCTATTGACTGTTGCTGATCGTCATTATTCTTGGATTTGATGTGAGTCTATTACTGAACTGTTTTTGATACTGGACTTTGTTATTGGATTATCCCTGGACTGAAAACTGACTGCTATAACTGTGTATGACTTGGACTGCTTGTTGGACTTTGCTTAACCGTTTATTGGAAGTAAAAACCTACATTTTACTATACAGTGTATCTCTGTGCTGGTTGTGTGCTATTCCTCACCACTCTCACTATGTCTCCCTGTGTGCACTCATTCTCCTAACGGGGAATTACCTCAACACTGCTTTTCTTGGTTCTTTCCCATTAGTTGTTTTTATTGGAGTTCCTATTGCTTTAAGTGAAAATACCTGGATGATACCCTGTTAACTGTCTATCTTTAAGACTACTAATTTGGAGTTGGAAATGTGGCTTCTTTATAATTATATCCAATTATATATCTAAATAGTTCCCACTAATAGTCAACATTAAAAATGTATTAAATGTTCACTTTAAAATGGCTGAAAAAAATCACTTTACAATTTTAAAGAAAAAGTTTAGGTGATTTTTACATTTTTCCTTTTGTTGGTATGTTTCAATGAGACAAATAATTTTAACTAGAGCTTTTCTATCAGACAAAGGGCTTCAAGTGAGTGATTCTACTATATAGCTAATACTTGTATCTTTAAAACAAATTATGCTCTAACTATTATTCACAAAGAAAACAGTATAATAAATTGTAAAGAATGAATAGAGAATGATACTTCACATAATTATTATTTAGTAAGCCAAACTCATGTTTTCCTGAAACAATTTAACTTAAAAAACTCAAATTCTTATAATGAAAAGGTTGTTTTTCCATTTGTTTCAAAATTTTAATCAGGTCGTGAGCAGCTAATCACATTTTATTACACTAAACCTTAAAGCAGGTGTCCCCAAACTTGGCAATTTTAAGACTTGTTGCTGGACAATTCTGAGAGTTGAAGTCCGTAAGTCTTAAAGTTGCCAAGTTTGGAGACCTCTGCCTTAAAAGATACATTCAGATTTTAAAAACAAAAAACACCAGGGTTCAATATATGTATATTAATACTGAATGTAATCTTTCCCAACCTCACATTTTCCCAAAGTATTGAGAGTACACTTCATTTGTGTTAATCTTTTGACTAGGACCTGATAAATCCATCGTTTTCAATGATTTTAGACAGCATTGTCTTATCTTGTTCGAAATAAGATTCTGTAATTTTGCTTTTTTTTTTTTTGGTTATGATTTTATAGTACTTTGCCGGGGGTGGGGTGTCAAAAAGGTAATTTTTAAATATTTTTAATCGGTATAACCATGAATGTTAGTGAATGTTAGCACTTTAATAGAGACATTGTAGAAATAGATCATAATAGCCTTTATACATTTCTTGGAATTTTTTCTTTATGCACTTATGAACAGCAAACCTATTTGTAATTGTAGGTAAGCACATTCTTTTGAATTCACTGTATGGATTTGCCCCAAGGAGCCAATTATGTCAGTTACTTTGAATCTCCATTTTTATCTATTGTGGAATGGAAAAGGTTTAGGTTCTCTTGTATTAAAAAAGAAAAAGAACAAAATTGCCCTGTGTAAAATACTGAAGAAAATTATTGTTCATGAAGGCTTTTAAGGATGAGAAACTACCAATTTTATTATTACCCCTTATTCCTTTTAACCTTCCTGAAATAAGTACTTTTCAAGTAATACTTCATATTGTGGAACAATACAAATTTCTGTATCTCTTAATGGACTTTATGCCACAACTTTCACAATGCTACATTCAGTGATAATAATTTTGTCTTTGAGCCATAATTAATTACATTAGAATTTTGCTTCAGTGTGTTTTAGGGAACCAATTAAAGGAAAATAAGAATGGCTAGTGAAGTAAAGTTGTAATTTGTTTTTAATACTAAAGAAAAGCAAAAGTTTTATAACTAAGTGGTAGAATAGTTTGTATAAAAGAAATGCCACCCTCAATTTCTATTATTCCCATACTGGACTGGAAAAAATCTCCAGAAATGAACTTATTTAATGTTGCCAAGAAAACTTCAGGGACTTGTCCAGATAATCATCAGGAGTCAAGCCTGGCTCAAAAATACAATCAATGATTCAATCTCATTTAGTGTACACATTGGTGTATCACTAGTGTGATATTGATTTTCATAGTGAAAATATTTAATACGTATCAAGCATTGTATGCATATGTAGTTGATTTATAAATACATTTTTAACATGTTCTTCAAATGTGCATAGTATTTCAATCCTATCCACCATAACAAAATAAGATTGTGCTCATGGCGGCTGTCCAAGGTTTATGTTAAATCTGAGAATTAATGGAAATTTGAACCAGTTATTGTTGGTCGTATTCCGACTTCGAAAGGCATTGCCAAATATCATGTAATTGAATTTAGAAAGTGAGTTATTTGATGAAGCAACATGCCACACAAACTTTTTTATATTCATTTCTGATTTTGAATTCCATGTATTCAACACTAATACCTACTTATATAGATTTCCCTTGAATCCAGTGAGACTGAGGTTTAAGCGTTGGGAAAGCTTGTGAGCACAAAAGGTCTACACATAAGGTTTCAATTATGCATGACTAAAATTGGAGAAGTCACAAGGTATTTGGAATGTAATACTGGATCCTTTCATATATTGACTGCAGGTAAAATCATTAACATGAGAGACAAGATTTTTCTTCAGTTGACTTTTCCTCAGACTGGGGTCTTCTAATTTTTCTGAAGCTGTTGACATTTCTAAACTTCATTGCTATTTGAGGAATTTGGAGGAGCGAGATTGGAAAAAAATATAATTCCTATTTTAATCCTTATAATCCCACTACTATAGAGAGTATACGTTATAAAGCTACTGTATCATTGAATTTCAACAAAAACCATCCCAGCTGCCTCAGATACCAGAGGGAACCCATACTTTCATAGATTTTTTTGTTTGTTTGGTTGTTTCATTGAACTTAAATCAGTGTTGACTCTGGACAACAGTTTGGCTATGTCCTTGCAGTTTTTCTTAGCAAGATTTTGGAAGTTTCTTGCCATTGCCTCCTTTTCAGGGCTAGAGAGACCAGCCCAAGCTCACCCAGTGGCTTTGTTTCAGGGCAGGTTTCACGCTGTCCTGACTAATGTTGCTTTAACAACTCTACCAAACTGTCTCACATATATTTCTGGATATCCTGAATGGCTAGATATTATGAAATGCAATTGTATGTGTGGTGTTGAAGGAATGACATTACCTCAGACCTCTCTTCAATTTAAAGGCATAGTCTGTGGGATGCAAGAACCAATGTGTATTTTAATTCCCCTGTACCTTTCAATATTGAAGCAAAATAGATGTTTTGTCAATTGTGACTTCTATGTCTCTACCAGTGATTCTATGCAGTCCTTTAAAAAAAAAAAAAAAAAGTTACACAACTGGATAAAATCTGTATTGCATCCTACCTCTAGTTTTGGGTAGCTTTTCTAAATTATTCAGCTCCAAAATGAATTTGAAATTAATATAACTTTTGCTGGAATGGATGTCCTTTATTAAGCATAGTATGGACTTATAGTACAGACTATCAGAGCTTAAATTCAACTTGTTCCTACAAAATTGGAAGGGACTTCACAGTTGTTTCCTGGTTAGTACAAATTGCACTTATGGATGAATGGCATGCTTAGCATGTCTTATTCACATTTTAATTATACTTGTTGAGTGTTTTTCATTTATGATAGTTTTATTACATTTAAAATAGCAATTTAGGGAGACAAGCTTACATTTTCTTGGCAATAGCTTCCTTCACAGGAAAAAAACCCTAAATGAAGGTTAGAAATATTCTATAATTGAATCAATTATTTTTCATAGATAAACAGGCATTTTAAGCACAAAAATTGAAAATGGTTATATTTCATGCCAAGAATTTCATTTCTAGCAGTGATTCTTACTATTTGGGTGGCCATGGTTAAAATCATACTGATATTTTAAGATGCACCATTGTGGACAGAATGCACAGGTTGATTGTACAAAAATAAGATACTGTTCTCCTATAACTAAATTGCTCCACCTAAACTATACATTTGTAAAATTCTGACATTTTTTTAAAAATTCAAGCCATTTATAGTAATAGAACTCAAAAAGCCTCAAGGCTGTAATCTGGAAATTCAAGTACTGATAGTCCTCAATTTATGACTATTTAATAGTTTAAAATTATGACTCCTTGGAAAAATTGACATGATCTATACTTGCACTTAATGCACCACCTTTGTGGTCACATGATTGCAATTTGGGAGCTTAGCAATCCTGCTGTCAGCTGATTTTGCCCATTTCTGACAAAAAGAACAGCAGAAACCACTTATTGAGAAGAAGCTGGACTGGCTTAATGACAGTGGTGATTTGCTTAATGTCCACTATCAATTTTGTAAAATCAGATCTGACTTAACTTACAATTGCAACAAATTATGATGGAAATTCCAATGCCAATTGTGGTTGTAAATAGATGATCACCTGCACAATAGACAAATATGAGCATTTAAGATTATCTAACAATTTCTGAAATTTGTCTGTTTGATACAAAGACAATACTCAGGAATTTATATTTGTTTTAAATTCTTTTGTCAACTGAAAAAAGTGATTTACAATAACGTCAAGCGTTTTTGCAAGTTTGATCTGTAAGTGTTTGAGCTCTGCATAAAACAAATACTAAAATGGATACGCAAGTAAAATAAAAGTCAGTCCCTGCCCTGGATAAAAAGGTGTTAAAGCAAATTAATTTGGCTTTGAGGTGTGCTCTATATGTTTTATTTCCCTTCTTCGATTTTCCTTCCTAAAAGAAAATGATGTGTCTAAAACAATTTGAACATAAGTAAATACTCTTGCAACCTGCTTTTCTACCAATAGTGTTGAAAAATGGCCAACATGCATTTTTCTGCCCTTTAAGCCACCTTATATAACCCAAATACCAGCAGGACTCCATGAGCCTTGAAAAACTTTGAAATTTGTTCCCAATCCTTCTAAAAATGGTTATAAAACTTATTTTAATACAGAAATATTGAATACATGGAACATAATCATGTTTGTTTTATTAACTTTATTCAATTTAAATCATAAATTTATTTTACATAGTTTTTGGCAGGCCACTATTTTGTAAATGGGGCTGTTGACCTGAAATTCCTTCAATAGCATTTATTTTATAACTGCCATATGAGAACAAATTATGCACTGTAAAGATCACTTGGAGGTGGGAGATATTTCCAATGAAATCTACCAGATCCCCTGCATGGGTTGTCCCTGTGACTGTGTAGAGGAAGAGGAGAGGAATCTGCTAACTTAGATAGCAGGAAAAGGAGAGCTCAGGTATTCTGTATACTGGGAAGATGGCTTATCTTATTTATTTCTCTGTGAGGAATACCTTTCCTGGAGAGCTGTGGCTGGCCTTCTCTTCCAGTAATTAGAATAACTTGTAGAATATATGTAGAAGCTGTTCTAAAATTATTTCCTCTACTAATTTTTCTTTGCTCATTTTACCTGGCTTCTATCATTTCTTGTTTAAGTCTTTCAATCCACAATTCACAAATCCATGTTTGTCATATGTGTAAGCTCCTGAACCTAAAAGCTCTCAAAGCCTTTCACATTAAAACATCGAGTTATTCTGGATATCCATTCACTTTCATGCCATTTACAAGTGGTTTCAAACATAATTCTGTGTCTTAAGGATTTTTATGTCTTTGGAGCCCCCTTCTCTCTATATATATTCTGAAAGTTTAGAGCGTGCGACTTCTGGTGACTGAACCCCCATAAGTGTTCTATCAACCCTTCAAACTGTTCTCTTCTTGCCTCTCTTTCACTCTTCTTCCATTCCAGCCTAACTTTCCTTTTTCTTTACAAAGCCACTCTTTTTCCTCTTTATTTGAAGCCTTTTATCCCTCTGTTCCTTTAATATTTTTGCAATTATATTTCCCCTAATATCTGAGTCTAGCCCCTTTTCTGGCTGGTCTATTATTTTCTTTGATTTTACCAGAGGCATAAGGTAGATAGCTGTGTCTACCAAAGTAGTAGTCTCTTTTGAGGGAGAATGTCTCATCTTCCCTTTTCATGTCAGATTGTTCTCTGATTTTTGCAGGCAAATGTTGGCTATTTCCTGCAGAGTCTGAGCTCTGTAAGGGTCAAACTCCATTCCCTTTGCAACCAGGGTTTGTTTTCTTTTCCTGGAGTGCTTAATGAACTCCTTGAGTTTAAAGCACCTCAATTTGTATAGTTGCCACACTATATTGGATGTCCCACTATTGCCAGGTTCTTTTATCATAGGTTCTTTTACCTATGAATTACCTAATTCAGTGGGCTCAAGGCACAACAGAGCCAACACAGGTATTCACAAGCTACCACTCTCTTACTCTTCTCCACCGCCACTTCTACTGCTGCTACTCCTTGTGGGTCCTACTAGTTCCATTCATTGTAAGTATTGCTATTATCTCTTTCTAACTACTTCAGGCTGCTTTATTTTCCCCCACCACCACACCCAGCTCTCTCTCTCTCTCTCAGCACAGCTTTTGTAGCTAATATTGTCATGGCTTTAAGAGGCCTTAAAGAGACAGGACAACAGCACAGGTGCTGGCCATTTTCTGGGCAATCTGTTCTCTCACAATATTATGCATGACATACATAAAAAGAAATAAATTTCTCTTTGGCAGACATTGAAGTTTTTTATAATTCCAATATACGTTTCCTGCATAACATGCAGGTGGTGATATTAAACGTTAAGTTTTAAACAGCTTAGAGCTGTTTAA